AGACTCGCACAATGCCTGCCGGAGAGAGAATGGGGGTGTGGCACAGATTCACGGTGCAACATGGATCAGTCTCGACAGCCTTATGTTGAGTGAAGAAAGCAAGATCAAACAAACCCATACTCTGTTGTGTCATTTGGATGACATTCTAGAATCAGCCAGACTGCTCCAATGCCATAAATCAGGGCATCCATTGTTTCGTGGGACAGAAATTGGCTGGAAAGGATAGACACAGGAGAGCCCTATTCCCAGCGATGTGTGCACAGTGCACTTACCGGTCAGTCAGGCCTCCCGAGGGCCACACAGCTCCCGTCTGTGTAGGCTGCTGCCCAACAACCTGGGCAGACCAAGCTTGTCACCACCCCGCAGAGAACAGCTCATCCTAAAGCTGACTCCTCCAATTCCAGCACTCAGAAGACCGAAGCAGGAGACTGAGGCTGGGATCCAAGGCCAGCCTGGGCTAGAGAGTAACACCCAGTTTCAAAAACCAAAACAAAATAAGCAAACCAACAAAATCAGCTCCCAGTAGAAAGGGCAGAGAACGTCCTAACCCTTCGCCCGCACGTTCATAGACAGCACAGCTTTGGAGAGACGCACTTCGAAGCCAGACTGAAGTTCTTTAGCCTTTGACTTGAAAATCAGTTTCCAAGCATGGGGTAGGTGACAGGTTGAGAAGGTTACAAGGGGCCACAAGCAAAGCCTTGCGCAGGCTCACATTCTAATCTATCCTTGTGTTACTAGGCAGGGTGGAGCTCTCGTCCCCTTCAGTGTTTCTGTTTTTATTATTTCCTACATTCTACAGAAATTCTTTTATTTACAATGTGAAGCTGGTACCTGGAGTTTCTGGCGGAAGCAGATGCCAAGGCCCCGTAGTGAGACCTGTGTTCACCTGGGACTCTGGGGCTTCCTCCGTGGACACTCACTTGGGGAGAGGGGAGGGGCTGGTCTCCCTGAAGTTAGGACAGGGAGCTGGTTCAAGGTTAGGTCACCACAGCTGGGGGGGGATTCCTCTCTGGAGACAGGGGTGTGAAGATAGCGCAGTGTTTTTATTCCTTTAAAAATGTCTGTAGAGGACTAAGTACTGCACTTTAAGGGACGTCTTACTACACAGTGGCACCCAACAGCCTTGGTCCCTGTTCCTTGGAGGGAAACTGTAGCCTTCTCCACACTCACCACATCTTTCCAATGTTTCTGAGACACGCCTTTAATTTCAGTTCTGTGTGCTTCATAGTCGTAGCACCTAGCTCTAAAGACCAACCATGGAATAGTAACGTACCTATGGGCTCTACAGACCAACCATGGAATAGTAGCGTACCTATGGGCTCTACAGACCAACCATGGAATAGTAACGTACCTATGGGCTCTACAGACCAACCATGGAATAGTGGCGTACCTATGGGCTCTACAGACCAACCATGGAATAGTAACGTACCTATGGGCTCTAAAGACCAACCATGGAATAGTAGCGTACCTATGGCTTTTTGAGTCTTGGACTCAGTTTGAAGTACTGCATTGTTGTGGGGTGACTGAATTCTTTAATCAGTGAACCCAGCAGACGTTTCTGTCCATATCCTCCGCAGGAGAGCCTGATCCCATCCTTCCACGCACGGAGCACCAGCCTGGCCATTCACAGTCACAGTGTATGCGTGGACTCTGTAGACAACGTTAGTCACGGGGCTGCTCCAGCCCCTGCCTAGGTTGCCTGGGTGGAGAGTGGAAGTTGACTTTGCTGTCACTTACTAACACTTGTTTTCTATAGACAAACAGGAAGTGGAGATAAACAAAGAGATGTGAGGTCACAGCTCCTTATGGTCGCCACCCAGACACATGTTCGACATGTCATTCGTGTGTTTTTCCCAGTCGCATAAGCAGCTGCATGTATGACGAGGTAGATCCTGTCCAGACCACCAGGGTATGAGCCACTTCACAGACTTTGCAATCTGGAAAGTTCTTATTTGTTTGTTTGTTTGGTTGGTTGGTTGGTTTTGTTTTCTTTTTGAGGCAGGGTCTTCCTATGTAGCGTTTCCTAGTCCAGAACTCACTGTCGACCTGGCTGGCCTCGAACTCTCAGAGATCAGCAACCTCTGCTCCTGAGTGCTGGGATCAAAGATGTACTCTACCACACCGTCCCACCTTGTTAAATGTGGGGGTATGACATGACACAATGATATCAGGACGATGCGTGTTGATGGAGACTAAGATACATCCCCTGCCTACTAGACAAGGTGCAGACGCGTGTCGGTCTGTCATTGGGGGAAATATCCTTTCTCTTTCCCCTTCAAACAGTGATGCTTCAGATCTACTGAAATCAACTGGCAATGGTATAGTCTCTGGGGAAATGTGTGCTTGTATTTTCCCTCTCTTTCTCAAGAAAGAGAGCTTCCAGTTATCTCTGAGATCTAGAAGATTCACAGGGGAGCGGGAAGGGGGGGGCACACGGAGTTGTCAAGGAAGAGAAAAACCTTCAGGGGTGGGAATGGGCCAGAAGGGCCAAAGTTCTCTGGTGTCCTGTTGGACCCCGGTGTCGCCTTCCTCTGGGAGGGAAATTTAATCCTCTTCACAGTTGGTACTCCAGTGAGGAGACTAAATAAAGGCCACAGGGATCCTAGTTGCTGGATCTCTTCTCCAGGTGGAAACAGGAAAAGCAGAGAAAACTCTCATCAATACTTGCTGACCCTTATGTGTGGGATTAAAATTCCTCATTGTTCCCAGATGCAGTTTTGGGGTGATGTTCCCTGGGTTTCTTCAGTGTGTCTGGAAAGACCACTTCAGGCTTAGCTTGAGGCTTGGATCAGTGGCCCTGCCTTCTCCACAGACCCTGTGACAGCATCCCTTGGAGGGTCTTCGAAAGCATCTGGTTAACTTAGCGATGTGATGTGACATCTCTATGTCCGTACAGTAACTGTAATGTTTCTTTCACTGTGGACTGTAATCCGTTCAGGAAGCCTTTGTCTCCCTTCTCGTTTCTATGCTAGGAGAGCGCTTTCAAGAATATTCTTGCCTTGCCTCTTCATACTTCCCTTTTGTGGGATGAATTCCCAGAGGGGTGATCGATAGGAAAACGCACTCACATGTTTGCATACACAAAAATGGATACTCTCAACTTTGGGAAAAGTCAGGGACCAAGTTGTGCTTTTGTTTCCCCTGCCTCAAACTTCACTGTGGGTCAGCAGAATTGTCATGAATGCCAAGAGCCACAAGCAGGGCCATGTGTATGATGGAGCTCAGAGGCAAGAAGCTGTGATCATATGTGGGCTTGTCCAGACAGGCTGTGTAGGTGCTCTGACTAGGGGATGCTCTCACAGAGGCGCTGCAGGTAGAAAAAGCAACCTGAGTTGATGCTCGGATGCCAGGCTGCGACCAGGAGCATCCGTGGGAAAGGAAGGAGTTGCCCTGGGATCCCCCTGATTCTCCACCCCTGCAGTCCTTGTGAGGTGGTGAGATGACAGTCTCAGTTCCTCTGCTCTTCCCCCCACCCCGTGATCCTCACCTCTGTGGCTCTCACCTCTGCGAACCTCACCTCTGTGACCCACCCCTCTGACCCTCATTCCTGCAGCCCTCATCTCTGCAGCCCTCATCTCTGCAGCTCTCACCTCTGTGGCCCTCACCTCTACGGCCCTCACCTCTACAGCCCTCACCTCTGCGAACCTCACCTCTGCGACCCTCACCCCTCTGACCCTTACTCCTGCAGCCCTCATCTCTGCAGCCCTCACCTCTGTGACCCTCACCTCTGTGACCCTCACCCACCCCTCTGACCCTCACTCCTGCGGCCCTCATCTCTGCAGCCCTCACCTCTGTGACCCTAACCCCACTGTGCACTAAGTTCTAGCAAAACAAAGTTCTAGTCAGTGAAATGGAAAGAAACCCAGGGAGCAGCAGGACCCAGCTATACTTTAGCTCCGCTCCCTTAGCCAGACAGCTGCCCTGTGAAACTGCCTTGTCAGTCTTCAGCTGGTTCCGTGCTCCTGACCTTTGTTTGCTCCAAACCAAACTATGAGGAGTCAGGATCCCCAGTCCCCGTTTCTGTTCAGAGCAAGCTGTTCCCGCCCTCTGCTTTGGTCCCCAGCATCTCCCTTACTACAACTAGCTGCCACTCTCTGCCTCCCAGCCTCTGTGCTGCCAGCCCAAACTGTCCTGCGCTTACACGGCTGGGAGCAAGAAAGTCCACCAAAAGCTGTGTTCCATGCCCTCCATCCCCTTGCTGTCATCTCCCTCTGACCCTCTCTAGCTGCCCTTTGGTTTGTGGTGTTTGGGGTTGGTATGTTGTGTGCTGCTGGTGCTGTTGTTCATTGAGGGAGGGGATATTGACACAGCACCTCACATAGCCAGGCTGGCCCTTGAACTGTCTCTGTTGTCTCCATCACTGACGCACCCTGCCTTCCTTACCTTGCCTTCTTAAGCCCAGCATGTGGTGTACACCTGTGGTCCCTGCCTGGGGGCAGAAAGGCTGTAGGCTCAGGAGTTGAAAAATGAGTTATAAGACATAAAAATAGAAAAAAAATCAGCAATAAAACTTAACAAAGGAGTTCTCCTATAACTGCCATGCTTGCCCTTGGCAGACTCCATGTTTCCAACCCCCTGAAGCCAGGTAACAAGGACATCTTCCACTTCCGAATGGAGGGAACCAATGGCCTTTGCACTGGTCAGTCATGGGATGCTGGGCCCACGAAGAGCAGTAAAGGGAAGTGGGCCGCTGCATGGTAAACAAAGGGAGCCTCAGGAAGCAGTTGATTCCACAGAAGGATGGTGCTAACATTTCTCTCTGGGGAGACTTAGAAGAGCATTCTGTTCAGGAGGGAGCTTGAGGTTCCGAAGCAGGGACAACACCAGAAGTCAAGCTGAAAGGATGGAGGTGAGAGCTAGCGGAGACCAGACAAGGAGCCAGGCCAGCTGTCCCCAGCCTCCCCATCACTTCCATGTTGTGCGATGCTCCACGCTGATTAAATCGCCTCCCGCCGTTTGACGGACAACCTGTAATAGGCTGTGACTTGTGTTTCTTGCAGGCGACCATGGTCCTGAGCTCTGCATCCTTCTGGTTGGGATTGTTCCTGGTTCCAACTGCGTGTCTGATTGAAGATGTGGTGTGGCGAGCGTAAGTACACAGTGACATCATGCCTTCAGGCCTTGCACCTCTCTCCTTTTACTAGGGGCTATGGGAATTAAGAAGAAATGGGACTTCTAGCGCTTGCCAAACAAAGGGGGTTATTTATTTATTTGGGGGAGATTGTTTAAGTTTAAGATTGTGCTTCATTTTGATAGGAGAATGCAGAGGCAAAGGAACAGAGAACAGAGATCACGTGACAGCCAGTAGGGCCATTGCCTTGTGTGTGACTGTTAGTCTGTTTCCAAACACAGACACATCTCATCACGTTTAGGAAACACGACCGAAGACTCTTTCCACACCTTAAAGCTGATGCCAAGCAAGCCCAGATAGTGCCTGGCTCTCAGCCCTGTGTACAGTAGAAAATCATAGGCAGGTCAGTCACTCCCCTGACAGAAGGGAAGGAGACCTCATCCTTCTAACCAGCTCACAGCAGGAGCCCTGCCAATCAATTCTTCTCAAGAGCCGATTTTACACCTCTGTAAGAAAATCTCATCACAGATATAAAATTATAATGCAGATTACATGGGAATTAGCTCAAACTTGCTTCCCACTCCTCTGTTTTCCATTCATACCTTTCCTAAAATATAAAGAAACACTGATGTCCCAAGAGAATCTAGCCTCTAACTTCATTCAGGCGAAGGTGAGAGATGGCTCTAAGGCCCATAGTACTGGTTTAGGCTCAGATGGGCCTAGTTCCTCCTAGAAATATGGCCAATTTCCCTGAAAATTGAGACTTCTAGCTTGGGCAAACCACAATTATTTCAGGGCCCTGAGGTAGCAAAGTGAGATTTTTAACCCAAGCCTTCCAGGAAAAGACACCAGGTCTCATTTTTTTATCTCTTCATTCCTCCTACACTCGGCAGGAATTATTCTTGCCTGACGGGGATCTCTTGTGAAAAAGTCTTCATTTGGCCACTATCTTGACAGCTGATTGTGCTGGCGCGGAGAGAGGGGAACAATAATTTTCCTAGAATGAATATTTGCTTATGTTTTTCTTCCGCTAAGTTTTTCGACTACTACCAAAAACCAAATCATTTGAACTTCTTAAATTCATTTGCTAACTAACCAACTGCTTCTGTCTCATCTGCTACGACTGTGTTCTGTAAACGGCACAGTTGGAACCTGCAGGATGGCTGGAGCCAGGAAAGATATTTCCTTAACCTACGAGATGCCCTGTGAGGAAATAGTCATTCCATCACGTGTTCCTTGAGCCAGTAGGCCCAGTTTGGGCACAACATGTTTATTCCCTAGCTGAGTTTGTACAGCTCTGCAAATAAGTTAGCTTCAGGGCCGAGCTCCTTCTTGACTTGGCTGCGTCTGACGGGAAGTAATTACGGGCTTACAAAATTTGTCCCCAACTATCTTAATTCAGCTATCTTAAATTAATGCCATGAAAACAGAGTTTTATTGAGGCTCATTCCTTCCGCCAAGTGGGTCTTCAGCAAATGTATCTTTGTTTCATTTCAATAAGAGAGTTTTGCAAGAGGGTTGCAAAGGCTCTGCCTTCCCCTGTGTCTTCAGAACCCCTTCCAATACATTTTTGCAAGTACAAGTCCTCTGTCACCATGAAGCAGACAGATGATATCTTGCCTTCAGCAAGCTTGTCTTGGTCCCATTTGTAGGACCTAGGCTATAAAATTAACACCATTTACATTTTAACAATGATAAATCATATGATACTACTTCCAGCTCTGGCATATGGGAAGAGTAAAAATCACTTTCTCTCCAAGGAGCTTGCCAGCTGGGTTCCAACCAGGACCAGAGCCCCACAGAAAGGTCTGAGGAGCCAGCAAGGAGGGCTACCCTTGCCGGTTGTATTGTTAGGGCCCTGGCAGGGGCTGCCTGCTGCCTGCTGCCTGGCAGGGTTGGTAAGCACAGCTTCTCCTAGGAATGGCATCTTATCATTTGACAGAGACAGAAGGGGCCCTACTGACTTACGTAACCACTTTCCGAATGCATTTTGCTCTTGCATTATTGAGAGGAGCTAAAACAGTGTGTTAAATTAGCCCAAACTATATGCCCATTTGCGTCTTTGTTTTTTGTTTTTGTGTTTTTTTTCTAGTCAAGGTTTCTCTGTGAAACAGTCCTGACTGTCCTGGAACTCACTCTGTAGTCCAGGCTGGCCTCAAACTCACAGAGATCCGCCTGCCTCTGCCTCCCGAGTGCTGGGATTAAAGGTGTGCACCACCACTGCCCAGCGTATATGCCCATTTGCGATATCTGCTTGATGCCTAAACTTCTGCTGTCCCCATCCTGAAGAACAAGAGTTTCGTGAATGTATGTGGGCCCATATTATACTGGGAGCTGAAATTTGCCAAGGCCAGTGAATCTGGTGGCTCCCCCCAAGGACAGAAAGTATGTGGCAGACTGATTGCCCCCGGCAAAGCCACAGAGCTCCCCTGTGGCCCTTGTGTCTGAACTGCCATTCTGCAAAGCTTTAGAAAACGTTCTCCACACTCCCATGGCCCACCATGCTCTACACAGTGATTCTCAACCTGTGGGTCGCAACCCCTTTGGGGATCGCATATCCGATATTTACATTAAGATTCGTATCAGTAGCAAAGTTAGTTATGAAGTAGCAATAAAATAATTTTATGTTTAGGGGTCACCACCACACTGAGGAACTATATTAAAGGGTTGTAGCATCACTGTCTACATCGACCCATCCTTTGATCTCTGATGTCTCGCTCACTTTCTCTAACACAGCCCTCACAATAACAAAAAATTCTCCCACTGAGCGATACTCCCAGCCCTTGTTTTTTTCATTTTGGGGGGGGGTTTGTTTCATTTTGTTTTAAGAAAAGTTCTTTCTACATAGCCCAGGCTGGCTCTGATGTTAAGATTCCCCTGCCTCAGTTCATGAGTGCTGTTCCTGCAGGCGCTGCCAAAGGCTGTTGCCCTGTCTTTGGAAACTTTCTTACAGAGCAGGCCTGGCTTTTCAAGGGGATATCACGAGCACCTAAGAGGCTGAGTGACTCACTTCTAGGCACCTCTTCCTTCCTTTAGCCAGCCCCTTATCTCCATTCCAGGACCTGGCTGCTAGGAGTTAAAGGAGAGAATCAGGATGAGGTCATTTGCTCTTCCCACAGTTTGTCAGCTTTCTGGATGAAGACCGTTGTTAGCCTATCTGAAGTCAGATTTGGAACACCATAAAAAGCCTGCCCTATTATTTCTCCAAAGTTTGATGAGGGCCCAAATGGCCCTAATTGTTTATTAACATAATTGACTCTCTGTGACCCCTGGCTAGTGAGGAGTCTTGTCAGATGTGTGGAGTGTAAACCGTGCAGAACTGTTTTAATATCGGTTAGCCTGCGCTCTCCCAAAACGCTTACCTGTGACAGTGTAAGCAAACTGCCAGGTAGATGTGGCTCTGCATCCAGAAGAAACTGGTTACTGTCACGCTCTAGAAGCGGTGCAGAGCTCAAGGCCACCGACCGTGGTGGAACACCCTTCCTTATATGAAACGAGTCTCCTGTCTTTTTCACTAGGCATCACACAATACATTCCTCAATCCCAGAATGACTTCATTTCCGGATAGTTTCCGATAGGTAGTTAAATGGCAATAAAGGCAATTTCTGTGTACAAATGGGCCTCGGTTGTATTTTAACATTCTAACCAAACCAATTTCTGTTGAAGCACACTGTGTTTCTGCTTTCAGCCACGGAATGTGATGTTTCCAATTGGCTGGCTGTTCTTGAGTGCAAAAGAGCGAGCTTAGATCTTAAGTTCTAGAAACAAAACTATGAGATGTTCAAGATGCCACCACAAGGAACCATAAAAGCAGAAGAGGGCTAGGACCAGGGGAGGTGGACTAGAGAAGGTAGTGGAGGGCTGAAAATGATTTTACACACACACGGGTGTTTGAAAAATCTGACAGTGAAACCCGCTCCTTTATACAACTAAAGCTAATAAAAAAGATAAAAGTCCCTTAAAACCTAGAGATGCTCTTTCCTGCCCCAGAAAGCTCAGAGTGGCTCATCTGTCAGCCCCCAGATAGCTCGAGTCTCTCCCTCTTGTCTTGAATTAGGATGTCTTGAATGGGATGAAATTAAAGAAGCTGGGGCACTGGGGGAAAGACACAGATAATAATCTGACTTCCGAGCTCTCGGTGAAACGTGACCACACACCAACGGCAAATGCATCTAGCTTTGCCTTGATAGCAGGTCAGTGTGAAATCACTACACGCGTATGTTACAGGGAGACTTAAGATCGGTATTCTACTGACCTCAGCCCTTAGTAGGTCATAGTCCTTGAGGAAGTGCTTTTAAATTTCTGACATCCTTCGACTCCGTGCTACCTGCCTCCCTAGGCTTACAACCCAGGGCTCTCAAGAGGGGCTGAGTCCCAAACCTAGCTCATAGAAGCCAGCCTGGCGCTGCGTCCTCAGAGAAAACAGAGTTTCTGGCTTTATGGAAGCAAGCAAGCCATTGTCCTCCCGAGGCCAGTGTCTGCAATGCTGGGTGTCACGTCCTTTGTTTCTTGGCCTAGGCTTCAGGTTCCATTATCCTACACCCATTCCGTGTCTGTTCTTCCTGTCTCAACCCCAGCAGCTCTGTCTCTCCTGACCCAGAAGACAGCAATGGGGCTAGCCCAGAGGTGCTCTGTCCTGTGCAGAAGGGAGGGCAGTGTGGGGAAGCATGCCCACCCTAGTGGAAAGTGACTTTGGAAGGTGGAGCGTGTCACTTTGTCTATTATCAACACAGGAACATTTAGCAATACTGGACAGCATACGTGTAAATGTCCTTTCTCTCTCCTGCAAAATATTGGCCGTATTCTCATTTGTTGTTTAACTTAAAAATTCCATGGCTCCTGCTTTGAACTTGGTATTTTATCGATACTGAGTCTCAGAACTCCGTCTGAAGTAATTAAGGTATCATGTGTAAAGGCCTGTGTGGTTTT